AAGGACCAGTACATGCTTGCCTAGTAGTGACGTTTTGAAGCGGTTCAGCTCAAGTTGTACTGCTAACAACTCGAGGCAGTTGATGTGCCAATGCAGTTGAGGCCCTGTCCACAGACCTGAAGCTGCATACCCATTGTACGTGGCCCCCCAGCCAGTAGGCATCCATGGTGACCACAGAATGTATTGACACTTGATCTAGGGGTACACCTGCCCGCAAGAACAAAGGGTCAGATCACGGGCTGAGATTTTGACGACACTGCGGGGTAACTTGGATCCGCCACGAGCCGCTCGATCGTGGAGCCAGTGTTGGAGCGGCCTCACATGAAGCAATCCGTGCGGCGTTACCGTGGCTGCAGAGGTTTCAGAAACTGCTCTTTTACTGAAATTGTCGGTACCACTGGCCCGGTGAGGAGGTCGACCACGGTGACGAGCAGACAGAGGGTTTGCGGCTGGCGGATGGGTGGACGGGCTGAGAACTGCTGGGCAAAGTCCTCGACCGCATCGCTGAATATCCCAATCTGAGAAAGATGGGCATCCAGGAACCGATATTTATCAGTGTCCCTCATATCCGCCAGGTTGAGGCAAAGGTGGCGTTCCTGGACCACCAAGGTGGACATCACCTTACCGATGGAACGTGCGGTTCATTTCGTCGCCCGGAGGGCGACTATCCATGTGTCTTATTGTTATGTGAAGGCGAGGTGGATATAATCACAGCTGTATTGCTCAAAAACCAAAACAAAGACGATAATCCAGGATAATAGGAACAAACACAACAGCTTTACAAACAGTGGCAAAGACAATACTGGACGAAAACTAGGGTTACGCTTTATTTACACTTTATTTCAACAGTCAACTTTAGACATTCTATTAACTATAAGTAACTTTGCAACTGCATGCCAACTAACTCTCATTAGAGTATTAGCAGACTGTTAGATTAGGGTTAGTAGAATAAGTTAACATGTAGTTGCAAAGTTACTTATAGTCAGTAGAATGTCTGTTTGGGGAGCATAAAAATAAAGTTGAGTCAAGTCACATTTATTTATATAGCACTTTTTAAACAATACAGTAACAATAGAGATTGTTTATTGGGGCAGTTCTCATCTGGCCAACGAACATGAAAAAAAGGAAACAGAAAAACACAGGAAACAAGAAAAAGCAAACTAAAAGTCCATGACAAATCAACAAAACCCTAACGAATATATCTATAAAGATTTATTAAAATTAATCAGCCATGAGAAATGAAACATGAAAAAATAACAATTTAAATCAAATCTATTTTGTATTTTTATAATCTTTTAGCGTTAGTGTTAGTCTGCGAACCCCAGTTTGAGAACACCGTTTGTAATCACAGTTAGTTTACTGCAGGATTCCCGCTCTAAGCTCAAATGAGTAGTTGACTGTCAAATTCAGATCTCTCTGAGCATAGGATGAGGGAGCGCTCTGACATTTAGTTTTGTTTTTATGACGTGACTCTAAGCTCACTGAATTGCTGGGGGCGGCAGTTTGATGCTAAACGGCCCGGAAGTGGTTTGTATTGATTTCTGCCTGGATTCACTGTTCTGCTTAGTACTCCATCTATTGATCCCCGGCTCAGATTACACATACGTAGGGTTAATGGAACTTATTCGCCTGACAGTTCTGTTTTTCACAGCACTTTTTCAGACCTCATATATATCTCTGTCACACTGGCATTACACATACATATTCACCTCCGCTTCAGACCTGGTCGTATAATCCAGCACATATATTTGATGGGGTCAGTGTGTCACATAGTTCGGTTGCCAGATTAGCACATTCACTCCACTGTTATCTCATTGTGTTAACGAGAGAACCGGGAATCTGATGCGTATCGATCCAGAAGAAAGCCAATACTGCTATACATTTTCATTACAACACTGATGTAGCTTTCGTCCTCTCATGCATGATGATTCATCTAACATAATTATCATTACGAACCAGTTCATGTCCTCCTGAGCGGTTAATTCAGCAGTCTAGTGGTGATAAAACATAATATAGAAACATTTATGATGTGAAACATTTTCATTAGCCATTGCGTAAAATACCGTTCAAATGTTTGAGGTCAGTAAGATCACAGAAGAGACTTTTGCATTCTGTTCTCTTTTAAATAAATGCTGCTTTTTGAAGTTTATATTCATAGTTTCAATTCAAAGAATCCTGAAAGCCTTTATCATGGTTCTCACAAAAATATCAAACAGCAACTGTTTTCAATATTAATAAGTGGAACCTGTTGTTGAGTGGTGTTCTGCCCACCGGTTAGATCCTGCTAGATGGGTTGGAGCAAAGGCTGTCTCCCTCAAAGTGTATGTTGCTGCTATCGCCGCACATCACGATACAGTTGAAGATAAATCATTGGGAAAGCATGAACTGATCGTTAGGTTCGGTCGATGAATCGTGCCTAGAATTTGGGCCAGCCAACTCTTACTTTGTTCTGAGACTCCGGCCTGGATATGGTGAACATGATTTCACCAAGTACCACATGTTCCTGGATCAACATCTTTGTTGATCCTGGATCAATTTTCCAATCAACCAGTCAGATTTTAGGGACAAGTTTACAGTTTATGTCAAGTTTAGTCTTAGAACCAGGGTGAAGTACTTAAACTTCATTGTTATTCACCTTTCATTGCCTTATGATTTTAGGGAAAAGTTATGGGTAGGGTTAGGTTTAGGGGTAGGAATTGGGTAAGGACTCCATTTTGGGACAGGAATGTTGATCCAGGATCAACAAAATATGTTGATCCAGGACCATGTCTTACTTGGCAAAATCACGGTGACCACCTGGATGCGTGCCCGAGGTTCCTACCACTCTTTTCAGGGACCGGGTAGCGGACCTGCAAGCGCTGCCTTTGGAGGAGGCAGACCCAGCCCTGGCTTTTCTCTGTCCCGTCCGCATCCTTTGGTTATACGTGGACAGAACGCAAAGCTTTAGGACCTCAGACCAGCTCTTGTCTGTTATGGAGGCCAGCAGAAAGGAAAGACTGTCTCCAAGCAGAGGTTAGCCCACTGGATAGTGGATGCGGTTGTCTCGCGGGTTGCGAGCACACTCAACTAGAAATGTTGCATCTTCCTGGGCACTAGCTCAAGGTACCTCACTGACAGATATATGTAGAGCTATGGATGTGGATATGGATATATCATACAGATATATATATGGGTGACACCAAACACATTCACTAGATTCTACACGCCACTCCCACCCCGCTGGGCCGGATATGCACCTATTGCTCCAGTAGTGTTCCCCAGAAATGGCTAACCCTGTGCATTGTGGAACCTGTGCTAGGCTGGGTGTCCATATATAGTGGTCCCTGCAACGACCCTATATGTATATTCTTTCACAATCAGCTCCTCTGCGGACAAGGCTGTGTCTTTCCCTCGACAGAGTTCGCTCTGTCATCTCTGGAACCACCCCAGAGACTGCCATATGTTGTACTACCCTGCTTGGCTAGTCCATATGTGTACCGTTACAGTGCCTCCCTCCGGGGTAGGATGTGGCTTCCACAGCGTCCCCTTCCCAAAGGGCACACTTTCCCAGTGTTATCCAATAACTCACACTGAGTGGAACTTGTGGAACAGCAGTGACTGACCTTCTCTGTTTAGAGCTCCTACTTTCTGCCCAACACTGTGGTCAGGCCAGGAGTCTCAAGCAGAGTGCTGTAAGGGCAAGAAGCAGTGACGTGTTGGTAGATATCCCCAATTTGTTAATTATGATGCATGGCATAGTGAACTGATGAAGGGGAACCTCTCGGTTATGTATGGTAACCCTTGTTCCAAGTGGAGGGAACGGAGACATATGTCCCGTCGCTACAGTTGCTGAGCTTCCACTGTACAGCCGAGTCACAAGACCAGCTCTTCAGCGGAAAAAACAAAGATGTGATGCATCTACTGTTCATTATATGCTTGTGATGCACAGCAGCTGGTGCAATTATCGCATGCCAATGTGCATTGGCTTGTTTAGTTTACGCTCAAGCGAGATTCCCAGTTTGTCAGTTATGACGAACATTTACAGTACGTACAATTAACAGGCAAATGAACGCGCTGCGTCGTGGAAATCTAAGGAAATCTCGTTTCTGGCCTACAAGGAAGAAAAGAAATAGTCAAATAAACTCGTTATTTTTGTTTGTTTTTTCGCACAAAAAGTATTCGCGTCGCTTGATAAACATATAGTTGAGCCACGGTAGTCACTTGGGATATTTAAACATTTTCTTCATTGACTTTCTGGGCCGTCAAGAGGCAGTCCCTTAGGAGCCAATGTGGTAGTTATACAGCTCTCACATTTAATCAAAAATATCTTCATTTGTGTTCCGAAGACGAAAGAAGGTCTTACGGGGTTGGTACAGCATGGGGGTGAGTAATTAATGACTTAATTTTCATTTTTGGGTGAACTAACCCTTTAAAGCACTTGGACCCCGATAATTGCTGCTTGCAGCTGTATTACTTATGAGAATTGTTTATTGTGAATTATAAATCATAATAAATATAAATATTTATTGGTCATTGGAGACTTTCATTATTTGTTGTGACTAACCACAATCTTTGTAAAATCATGGTGGTGCACAGCTCCTTGTTATTTACTCCTTTAATTTATGTCCTTGTGAAACATATTGCAGTATCTGTAGTGTAAATGAAGGTTAATAATTGCAGTGTACATTATGTTCGTTCCAGTCAATGTGCTGCTAACCGGTTAACCTACTGTGCCGTAATGACGTGTTATATTGATCCACACTCTCATGTTCCCTGCACTCTTCCCGGTAAAGCCGTCCTGCACTCAGTAGCCATCACTCTCACTAACATGCACACAGATTTGGGTCAGCATTTTGTTCAGCTCTCATTATTTATGACATTGTGCTCAGATTCCATCTCCGTGTAATTTATAGATCTTTTTATGTCCTTTTTTCCTCCCCGTTCACTTAAGTTGATTGTTGTCACCTTTGCTAAGAATCCACGCTTAAAGTTATTCATTCTGTCTTTTCATCTCTCTGCAGAAGAAACTGGTTCTGACATTCCACACCTCCACACCAGCAGCCTGTAAACATCTGTGGAAATGTGCTGTGGAAAATCAGGCATTTTACAAGTGAGAGCTGTCCTTTTAACCCCCCCTCTCTCTCTTCTTCACACTTCTATTTGTGTGTCTCTCTAGCATTTGCTTGTGGTTTGGTGTTTTTATACAGCACTATTCCAAGTTTTTTTTTTTTTTTTCTCTCTTTCTGATCAATAAACAATCCTGGAAAAAATGGTTTCCATTAAATAATTAAGCAGCATAACTTTAAATTTCAAAAAAGATAATATTCAAAAATAGTTCAGAAAATCATCAGCATATTAGCAGAAAATCATCATCATATTAGAATTATTTATGAAGGATCATGTGACACTGAAGACTGATGCTAATAATTCAGCTTTGAATAAACACAATTTGAAATAAATTACGTTTGAAATATATTCAAAATTAAAACAAGACAAACCTTGGAACAGTGGTGTATGGGTCAATCTCTAAAAATAGTACTAATGTAATGCTAAAATAATTAAATGTATGTAAAGTATGTATGTATATGTATTAACCCATGACTTTTCTCTTTTTTATGCCAACCCTGTTAAATACAAAGTCTTTGGGAGTTATTTAGTGAAAAATATGTCTGATATGAGTGATTTTTTTAGTTAAAATGTTTCACTTTGATGGAATTCTGTGACAATGTAAGTTACTAAATGAAATATGGAATGTTAAACTTACCTTGGTTTGTTTTTCATGATTTCACTCCTCAAATCATTATTTTTTTAAAGGGATACTCCACTTTTTTTTGGAAATAGGCTCATTTTACAACTCCCCCAGAGTTAAACAGTTGAGTTTTACCGTTTTCGAATCCATTCAGCCGATTTTCTGATTTTTTTGAAGAATATAAGTTTCTGGTCTCATTGACTTCCGTAGTATATTTTTTTCCTACTATGGAAATCAATGAGAAACAGAAACTGTCCGGTTACTGATATTCTTCTAAATATCAGAAAATCGGCTGAATGGATTCGAAAACGGTAAAACTTGACTGTTTAACTCTGGGGGAGTTGTAAAATAGAGTATCCCTTTAAAGAATGTCACAACATAACAGAGTTGAACAGAAAGTGCATAAAGCATTTTAGAAAAAAAATATATATGAGTTAAAATTCACTTTCAGTGAAATATACATTTTTGAAAATAGATTTCGCATATAATGTGACTAAGTTCTAGATCCTGGTGATTATATCAGTATGAGGTCATGAGAACAAACACAGCACACGAATGGCGCCGCTTCCTGAGAATGACCCTGATATAAGTGCCTCTGTCTCTTTCTCTGTCTCTGGTTACTATGTGTGAGTGGTGTCACATTACTGTAGAAAGCCCTTTAATTAAGAGCTTTAATGACAGCAGGCCTGCACATATCAAACCAGGACACTGGCAGTTATCCCTGTCTTCATACTAACAGCACACACATCAATCAATCAATGACAAACTGCCCTCATGAGCAGGCCACACAGTATCAGTACACTTTTTACACTGATTATCTGCTAGAAAATCTGCTGAATTATGCTGAATGGATTTATATAGTTATAGCAACAACTGTTAAATGGAAATGAGAATACTACAGCCTGTTAGCTGGAAGAAACAGCAGACACAGACTCTCTATGGTCCTGCTTACTGGACATGCATTGTAAGATAAGCTGGTAACAAAGATACACACGTTACAAAAAAATGCAATAGACACTTAAAAACAGAAAGTACTTTACCAAATACATCAATAGTCCACTTTAGACATTCTGCTAACTATAGGTAATTTTGCAACAACATGTCCGCTTCATTTGCAAGTACATTTCAACTAACTTTCATTAGAGTATTAGTAGACTGGTAGGTTTTGGTTAGACCAATATGTTGACATGTTACGTATAGTCAGTAGAATGTCAGTTAAGGAGCATTAAAATAAAGTGTTAGCAGATATTAAGCAGATCATTTACTAATACTCTAATGAGAGTTAGTTGACATGTTGTATAATTACTTATAGCTAGTAGAATGTTTAAAGTGGACTATCAAATGGTGATCAAAAAGTGTTACCAAACATAATACATACTTCCACACTGCATACACACATTCAATAAGATGCATTAACACCATTTTCATTGCTCTAATGCTTTAAAACATATATACAAGTATAAAGGTCTCAACTTAAGGAGAAAACCTGATGAAGTGAAGTGGAAGATAATAAACACATACTTTGTGACTTTTCATCTCACTTTTTTTGCTCACAATTTTGAGTTTATTTAAGCAAAGCAAATTCAGTCATAACTAAATGTTAATGCATTTCTCTGATTTAGATGTGCAAAGTCAAGTCAGATAAAGACTGTGTCCAGCAGCAGTATATTTTTCAAGGGAAGCCGATTTCGCTACAGGTGAGATGATTCGCCTCTATGTGCTGTTTACCTGATAAGAGTAAATGATATGTCAGACATGCTAATATGACAAATTTCATTTGACTTCAGTTTGATTTTATTTCACATTATTTAAGTGGATCAAATGATTGTTTCTGGTTTGATTCCAGTGGTCGGGTGGCTAAAGAAGTGATTGAAGCCAGTTCAAAGATTCAGAGAGAACCCCCTGTTGTACACAGGTCAGCATCCATTTTCAATACTTTTCTTACTGTATTTAGATGACACTTCACCCAGACATACTGTTTGTGGGTTAGAAGGGCATGGGGATCAGGCTCTTTATGGTTTTGAAGGGTCATAATATACACTTAGCCTTTTTTTTGTATAAAGTCCACTTACTGTATAATCCATGCTTTCTTTGACCATTTTCCATCCTCACGCTGACCATCACAAATAAACAAATTATATTGTGGATAATGTGTTTTTGAGACAATGTACTGTATGTAATGACCTCTTTTCCCCTTTCTTTTTGTTCTTTTTGTACATTTAGCACTTAATATGGAAATAATATTACTGAAGTTCATACTAAATGTTATGTTTTTTGACATTGATTGCATGTTATTTGCAATTAAATGAAAATGTGTTAACATGTATTTAATAATTTATTAGTAATTTTAAATTAATTTGTAATCTTAGATTTGTAATGATAAACTTGCAATTTTGTATATTTAAAATATTAAATTTAATCGTAAATTAAAATCTTACAATTTTTATGATTTTTAACTAAAACTGTTAATTTGACATTATTACAAAGGGCACCTTTTAAAAGTGCCCTTAAGTGTTCTAAGAAAGTATACTTAAGTAGTTTTTTATTTCAGTAGTATTATACTATTATAATATCTGTAAGTACACTTTTAAAAATATACTTTTAAGATTTTAAAAACATACGAGTGTAAATAATAATACAATAAAGTACACTTCTCAAGTGTTATATTTGAAATAAGTGATGGCAATAAAGCAATACAAAAATATTTTTATTTGTTAATTGGCTAACAGACTAATGGTGGCGACTGGTTCTACGATCTACTTGGGCGTACGTTGCTCATGATGCCTTGAATTTTGAACGTGACATGTATAGTATCAAACCCTTTTATTTAAAAAAACGTTGTTTTGTGAAATGTTGTCTTTCTGGGTCTGCTTTTGTGGGTGTTTCAGATCTCAGTTTGGCCAAAGCAGAAGCTTTACTTCACTCAGTCATAAACATCTCATTATGAACATGGAGCCCCTCCTACCAGCATTGAGCTCCAGCAGAGAAAACAGAGACTCCTCAGCAGACATTGGTAACACACTCCTGCATGCATACACACACCTTAAGGATAAACTCCTCCAACTGTAAAAAAACAAAACAAAAAAACTTAGACCGCTGAAATAAAAAAAAATGACTAAAAAAACGTTATAAATGATTACGATCATTTATGATTATGATTAAAATGTTGTTCATTCACATGAGCTGATCTAGTTTTTATTGTACAAGAAGGTGATCGACTGATCTGGTATAATGAAGAGCAAAGATATGACTTATATGATATGTAAACTCGCTAGAGAAGTCAGTAGTATCAGAAGAATGGGACGGCAACAAACATACTGGCTCGACACCATCAAAGCAGACACCAATATGAACATTAAAACTGTTGAAAAAATCAGTGCTCAATGGCACGGAGAATGCTCGTTCATAAGGTCGCCGAGAGTCAGATACGACTGAATGGGTAGATCAGCACTTTTAAGAGAGCTTAGTCAGGTGTGGATGAACAACATCTGAAGGTTTAAGCACTGCTTTTCACTGACCTTTGAAAAAAATGACTTAATTTAGTCTTATTTTAGAAATGTTGTGTGGCCACCTAAGCATTTTCTTCCAGCTGAAAACGCCAGGCAGCCAAGCAGGGTTTTTTTCAGTTAACATGACTAGTATAGTATTCTATTCCATAGCATTTGGTTGGTATGATATGAAATATTCATGGAATTGTTTGTAGTATCTGATTTCATGGTTTGTTTCTGAATATAAAAATGTGGACACAATGTAAAGTACTTGCTCTGGCCTCTGTTTTAAATGATTTTGTTCTGTCTTTTTGCCGTCTGTTGTTGTTTTACAAGCAGTATCCCACCCCTCCTACACTGTTATTGGACGACTGGGTAAAACGTTACAGTGATGAGTTTGACCCAAAGTTGAACATTGATTTTCTCTCGGCAACCAGAAAAAAAAAAAAATGTGCCATGCACAGCGTGAAATAGACTTTCAGCGCCTTGTCACGTGACTGGTGTTTTAAATACGCAGCACTCCCATTGAAAACAATTGGGGAAAAAATATACTGGCCTTAAGAAAAAAATGCTTTGGTAGACTCACGCCCTAAATAAACACATGTAATCTCACATGATGCTTTTTTCACGCCAATAACACAAGTTAAAAAGTCAAACACTATTGTATCGCCCATTGTATATTTTGCATGAAAAACTGACCTAGTGCACCTAGACGTTGTTGGCAGGTAACTGTCACCGTCCCACAGGTGGGACGTTTGCCACTATATTTTTAAAACAATAATATCTTAGTAAATACCTTAAATAATATTGACAAACTATATATCATTTGAAAGCTTACAATCTCTAGTTTCCATATTTGGTGACTGATTTTCAAAATATATTACAGAGGAGCCATAATTTATCAATATAAAACAAGAATATTTTCATACTCATAAGGCGTGTTCAGACCTTTATTTTAAAATAGCAGTAAACATGAAAAATCATGAAAAAATGGTAGATACCCCAGTTTGTTTTCATGCCAAAAGTTCAAAAGATAGAATCCATTCAATTATTTTGAAAAAAAAAAGGTCTGAAAAGTTTGAAATATCAAGAAAAAAATAATAAATTCACCATTTGTGACGTGGCAGCTAGCTATGACTTACATGCGTGTTCTTTGTATGTGTTTCTTTTCATATCAAAATCTGCCAAACTTCCCATGCTACTTCTGAATAGGATCTCTACTTCAGAAATTGTATGAAAATTGTGAAAATAATGGTTCAGATCACTCAAAACACGAATGGAAATGCAGGCGCCCTTATATGGGCAGTAATGGAGTCTGATTGTGCCCTAGTGAAAAAGTTTGGTACTGCGCTCAAACAAAATCTTACTGAAAGCTCATTTTTTGAGATATCAACCTAAAATTTGAAACACAACTTGTTCAGATTTTTGGCTTTGATCTTTCTGCCATTTTAGAGTAGCCCAGGTTTTGAAAATATATATTTTATGTAAAATATGAATAATTAATATTTTTACATTGTACATTTCCATAAACTCAAACTTCTATAACTTTTTTTCTGTTTCACTTTCTTAATTTATTTCACTTCTACAAAAATCTGCCAAATGTCTTCTTTAAATCAAGACCAATCATATGTCTATATTCCAAAGCGTTCTTGAATTACAACCATTTAAGTTCGAAATGTGCATTTTCATGTCTATTCAAAAAAGGGGGGGTGACAGTTAACAGGATAACACCCCCCATTCTCAAGGGAAATGTTAAAAGTGAGCCGATGAGGTGCTGGTCTCTGGAGACTCCAATCATAGCTTTAAAAATACTTGTGAATTTCCCAGCAGACAGCATGTTAGCAGTGATTAGATAAGAGGCCTGCTCGGGCTTGTGCTGTTAGAGGTTTGCATTAAAGCAATGACACTCAAGTACACATGCCAAAGGAGTTAGAAGCTGTTGGTTTAATGATGTCCTTGAATTGAATCACTTAGCTGTTTAAACTCAGATCAATCGGAACAGAGTGAGGAAGGAGTATGATCAGAGTGTTTCATGTAAGGGTTTAGTCACGCAATTCTGGGGAGATAAAGCCGTGTAGTCCACGTGAGGAGTCCTGAAACTGGTTCATCAATACTAAGCCCCTTAAAGATCAAGTTACCGGAGGACAGGACAAGGTTTTAACAACTGAATGTCACACTGGCCCTTCTCAGAATTTCCCTGTTCATCCTGTATTAAAGTAATGTGCTACGAAATGCATTATAATTTTTTTTTTTACTGATTTTCTTTTCATGCTTGATCAACTTATTTTTCACATATTTGATATTGTTGCAGCTCTTCTCTTGTAAGTCTGTCAGAAACGTTCTGTTTAGTTCCTGTCTCTATGAAGCCCCTCCTTCCGAAAAACTCAATGTACTCTGATTGGTCGGCTGGACCAGTGTGTTGTGATTGGTCAACTGCTTTGAGCGTGTTTGGGAAATGTCACACCACTTACAAACGTGAGTTTCAACACACTACTAACTTAAAATAAAGAGGCCTTGCCGCTTTTTTTGCATTTGCCTTGGGTGGAAATCACTTAAATGAGGAATATTACGAGGTGTTCGTTGCCAGAAGAAAACTCTAGAAAGTTGAAAATGCTAAAAAAGCATAATAAGACTAGCCCATCAAGATGTTAGGTCTGGGAACTCACAATTGGCATACTTCAATTCGAAAGACTGCTGTTAGCCAATAGTATCTTGTTTGTTTTCAAGTAGCAGGGAAATCGCCTATGGAAATCACGCCGCAGAACCGTCACAACTCTGCCGTCATTGTGTTAAGCCCGCCCACTAACTCTATACACGATGTGATTGGCCTGACCAGAGTTAGTTTTTTCCACTTCGAAAGCCAACGGAGAGTTGCTAGACCACACTGTCTGCAAAATCATGCTAGGCTGCGTCTAGATTTCTAGGCTATAATAAGACCTTCAAAAAAGGTTTTTGTGCAGTGTCATTGGGGATTGTGTTCTAATGTCAAACTGTTTCAGTTTTCCATCGTAGAGAACAGTGACCCATACATGAAAATGGTACTTTGGGACAATAAATCTGTCATATTCATTTTAGCTATTTAAGGGGGACATTCACAACTCAATCAAGACAACAGCATAGCTTTTGATTAAAGTAGACCATTTGTTGACTCGGATCTTAGATATTACAGTGGGTTTCCAAATCCCACTATCTATTAGATATTGCAGCTTCATCACGTTCAAAGGCTTTTTAATCTATTATGCAGGAATCAAGGCACGCTGTGATTACTGCAAGGAGTTGATTTGTTTGATTAGACAGTGTTAACTGATTTTGGTGAGAAATATTTAAATTGTCTTTGAGACTCACACACTTTTGTTTTTTGTTGCTTTGCACCACACAACAGTACTTCTAGAAGCCTTAAAGGAATATCTGACCCAAACATTTACTTAGAGTTCACTTTCATGAAATGAATGCACTTCAGTGCAGTTTTTATAATAATGTTAAATTAAAAGTTTTACTTTATATTTTAAAGGAGAACTCAAAATGAACCTTTGGTCTAATTACACATTGTTACCTATTCAACCGTTATCTGAGATTTGTTTTCATGATTGCCGAATGTAAATAGTTTTATCTCTAAAAACAGTTTAGCCTATAACGCTAGTATAACGCTAGTATATAGGGCACAGAGTAATGACAAATAAAAATCGCTTGTTATTACCACTAACAAGGCTCAAAATAGCCCCACACTAACACGGTAGCATAATAAGGATCCCTACATACAAACCGAAGCATTGAGAACTTTGTCGGTGTCCAAACAGTTTAATAAGAAGATATTTTATACACATAGTCAACTTTGCGAAAACGGCAAGAAGCCATCTTTGAAAAATAGTCTCTACCAGTCGATCTACGAGCGCCGATCCAAGTGCGCTGAACTGTGCAGAATCTCATATGGTCCGGAAGAAACGCAAACACTAACCATTTTCTTCTCTTCAATATGTACACGTAGCCTACTGTTCACGCTCACCTTATCACCTTATTCACATCTCACCAGCGCACTTGGATCAGCGTTCGTAGATCGACTGGTAGAGACTATTTTTCAAAGATGGCTTCTTCAGGCGCGGAGTTTGCGGGGGGGCAGGGGGAGCGTTGCCCCCCCGGTGGCTGAAACGGGTAATCGCATTTTCTTAAAAAAGCTGTAAAAAAACTACCAACCCCAATCTCTATAAACAGTTATCGCTCACTCGGTCGATTGTGTCATCTAACTCTAAGAGAAGCTTTTCTGCGATAAATGGGCGTCAATTTGAAATGTGCTGGGGACAGAGACGTACTCGAAAGGGCATTTTCACAAGTGCTGGGTACGCATTCATTCTTTTTCTCTCTTTCGAGTAGGTCATGTTTTGAAAGACGATGTTCTGTAGCTCCTGATGTACATAAATAAAAATGAGCACAATGTCCGAGTATAGTGAGTATAAAGTATACGCCCTTTATTGCATAAATAAAAATGAGCACAATGTCAGAGTATAGCACTTTTTTCATGTGTATAGTG